TCAAAGCTGACAGAGTAATATATTTTGTAAAAGTAATTAAGCCTTTGAAAGGCGAGAGCTCACCACAGCACTGCCTGCTGCCCAGGGATGGAGCTGTTTGTGCTGTCAACAAGAGCGATCAGGCTCCTAAACTACTCCAGGGAGAAGGAGTGAGGATCTCAGAGTGCAGCAGGGGTCCGGTGGATGCCCACAGCCCACTGCACAATGCCGCAGGTGAAGCAGTAAATACTGAACAGAACTAGTCCCAGTTAGAGATGTGCCCCCTCCCCTGCAGCAGGACAGGCTGCTCTACCTGTGCGACTGCCTCAGCCCAGGCAGGGACACCCTCCGGGCTGCCAGGCTGGGTCCCAGCCTGCAGACATGGCTTGTGGGCACCAAGAACCGCTGTCAGAGAACCCACCAGGTTAGGAGATGACTGAAGGATAAAGTTCTCAACACACGGTTTCTTAACTCAGGAAAGAGCCATTTAGCAAGATTATTAAGAGCTGTGATTTAAGTCACTGCACCCAGAGCAGTTACAGCAGTGCAGAGAAACAACCAGCTACACAGAAGAGTGACAGAAGGAGCCTCTTTGGAAGCAGCAAGGAGCCGGTTACTGACCTGCAACATCAGACTCTGCACTATGCTTTTCTCCAGAGCATTTTTAAAGTGACAAGAACTAAGAGTTTTTGACAGCCCCTCAGTGCTTAAAATGACAGAAGCAACAGAGCCTAGTTTGTATTTGAAGACAATGGAACTAAAGCTCCAAAGTCAGTTTTGAGAATACAACTCAGACACTTCACACCGCACATGCATTCCTTCTTCATTTAAACCCTGCATGCACAGGTCACTGAAACACCTTCACTGCAGCAGGTACTGTCCAAGTGCGGAGCACTACATGAGCCGAGAAAGACAATACTGCAAACAAGCTAATGCTGAATGTTGAATAAGACTCTTATCCTCTGCCCAACCTTTCATTAAGTATTGACTTGAAACACCCAATCCAGGCATGAGTATTTTTAACCAGTGGGGGACTAAGGAATGCACAATTTTAGCATTATTCTTTCCAAAAAGGAAGAATTCGAGGTCAGAAGTTCCTGTTTCAGGAGGAGTCTCCCAGGGTATCCTTAAAAGCTCCCCAAACTCCTGTGCTAACAGCAGCAGCCCAGACCCGCAGTGACAGCGCCCGGGTACAGCACACATCAGGGTGCGCTTAAAGGCAGTGCTGGGGGCTTCTGTTTGTGTTGACTGATGTGTATCTGTTCTGCACTCCTCACCCCTCCACAGTCACCACCTCCTCGCCACTATCAGAGTTATCACTGTGTCAGTTCAAGAGCATCAGCTTTAAACCTAAACTTCCAGTTTAATTTAGAGACAACTCCTGAGCACACTCACATACACTGAGCACGTTGGAAACACTGACCAGCATATTTAGATAAACACTTTCCTGTTCCCCCAGCAAGGGACAGCAGGTGTGCTCTGCTCAGATTTACCAGCATCGGGAACTTAGAGATGTAAACATACATATTTAAGTTCGAAGTGACTTAGTGAAGCCATTGTATTTGTTTATCGAAAGAAGTTTATTTTAGTAACTTTTGACTCCCGAAGGCATCAGCACAGAGGTACATCCACACCGCAGCGCTGTCACCGAGCCCGAACCGCACAGAACGCCCACTCCACGTTGTCAAAAGCCGGTTCTGTAGGAAGCACATCCCGCAGCAGCGCCCCGCGCACTGACCCCGCGCAGCTCCGCGACCCGCACACTACAGCTTTGTTTGAAAGCGAAACCAAGCGGGCTGCAGGTAACACCGTGCCCAGCGCCGGGGAGCGCGGAGCCCGAGCGCGCACTGAGGAAAGTACGGCGAGTTTGGAAGTTTTACATTTTATTATCGGTACCATTATTTATAGCGCGACACTTCTATATATAAATCCGTGACCTGCGTTTCCTTTGACACCTCTAACGCGCACCCAGCTGAGGCAGCGAGCCCCTGGTTCCGAGCATTTCCCGAAGTTGGGTGCGCTCCAGGAGCGCAGCCCCGCACCGCTCCGCACGCACAACACCGCGCACGCCCGGCCGCGCTCACCGGCCACCGACGGGAAATGGCCGGAGCCGCCGCCGAGCCCCGCTCCGCGCCCCGCAGGGAGCCGCCGCCGGAGCCCCCGGCGCCGGGACCGCGCACCGCGGAGCTGCTGCCGCCGGGTCCCGCCCGCTTTTCTTCCCCCCCTTCTTTCCGCTTCCCCCCTCTTTTCCCTTTCTTGTTTCCTTGTTTTTAAGGGCGCCCGCAGCTCTCCCTTCCTTCGCCCCTATTTTCCCCTTCAAAAGATGGCGGGCAGAGAGAGCGGGCGAGGGAAGGCGAGCGACAGAGGGGGAAGACGAAAAACACAGAGAATAGGAAAGAAGGAAGGAGCCGCCGCTCGCGGGGCGCGGGGCTGCGGGGGGAGCCCGGCCCGGCGGCTGCGGGCGCTCGGCGAGCAGGGGAGGGGGGGCAGGAGATGGGGAAGAAGCGGCAGAAGAAGAAGAAGAAAAGGGTGGGCAGGAGCGGCGGGGCCGGGAGGAAATCAATGGCCAGGCTGCAGCCAGCCCCGCCGCGCTTTGTTGCATTGTCGCGGCGCACAAAGGCTGCGGGGCGGCGGGGAGCGGCGCGGGGCTCCCGCAACAGGAACGAGCAGAAGAAGAGAGAAGGGGGGAGGGAGAAATTAAAGAAAATCAGCATTGGCCTTTCCCAAGTGGGTTTTGCTTTCGTCCCGCTGCTTCCCCGGCCCCCTCCCTCCAGAAACCATGGCCCAGTGCTAGCGGCGCACACCCAAGCATCTAACGAATAAAGGGAAAGATTAAATAGATTACTTTGCCCCGGCAGCTCCAGCAACGTTTGCCTTATAGTCCCTCCAGTTGCTCTTCTTTTTATCCTCGCCAGGCAGTATAATAGATGCGCTACAGCGCCCCAGAGCCCATGCGCCGGCCGCAAGGCCGTGTGGGCGCGGTAGTCCCGGCCCGGCCGGGGCAGCGGCGCCCGCGGGCCCCGGCACTACAACCCCCAGCAGCCGCAGGGCCCCGCTCCCCCCCGCGCCGCCGGCAGGGACACAACCGGGAGGGGGGATGCCCCGGGCAGAGGGGGAGCCGCCGGGCCCGGGGGACCGCGCCGTGAGACCCCGCGCACGGCACCGGGGAGCCCCGGCTCCCCCCCGGGCTCGGGGCACGACGAGAGCCCGTCAAAGCGCAGCCGGGAACGTGCGGGACCCCGAGCCCCGGCGTGGTGCGGGGCACCGCGGGGCAGAGCGCAGCCCGCTCTGCTCGCTTCTATCGTGAAGTTCAGTCCCGGTTTGCGCCGGGCGGTGCGCGCTCACGGTTATTACACAACAACTACTACGAGCCGCAATAAAAACAGAGCGTCACCAGTGCGAGTAGTAAGTGCAAAAATAAAGCCCATGAAGAGCCGGGTGTAGCCTGCGCTGGTCAGTGCGCTTCACAATCCTGTCAACGGCTTACAACAATTGATCCTATGTATACAATAACAGACCAGGAATTGTACACACACGGAAGCATCAACAAACACGAGCACTCCCACAGCACTTCAGGCACACTCCAACCCAGCCGGTGTCCTGCAGCGAATCCACAATGCAAACAGAAGTTTATAAAGCAGCTCAAAGCTGATGCAATCCAAAACACAGTTTAATTACTGCAGCACGAAAGGTAGAAACAAAAATTAGAAACATAAATGAGTCCAGGGGAAGCTTTTGAGCACCAACATCAAGTAAGGAGCAGTTTTAGGATGTGGCTGTGGACACACAAGCTGCAGAGGCTGCCACACTGTGATGCCAGTAGGTCAGTTCAGTGTAGCCATAAGGTGAAGGCAGTTTTATTGGAAGATCTTATTTCCAGCTGTTTAAAACGTGACCAACAGGACTGAAGTTCTCAGGAGGTGTGATACAGACACCGGGATCTGCACAGGCAGGACATGCTCAGGAAGACCTCACTGCACCAGGTGTGCGGCTGCCTCAGGATGAAGCCGAGGTTGTGTACATACCAGAAACAAACCCAAGAAAAGTGATTTTTTAACACCAACTTCAAGGCACGTTGAAATCCAGGAACCTGCTCACACTGGGATATCCTTTGTCAGACAGCACTGAAGGTGGGTGCATCACACCCCCAGTCAGTGCGTGACCTGGGCTCCTCCTCAAACTGACCTTTTTGACTTGACCATCCAACAGTCCCACTGCAAATCCAAACGCAACCTGGCAATGGCAAGTGCATCAAAACTGCAACCCAAAAGCAGTCTCCAACTACACCTCACGCTTCCTTATCTCACCTGGGTGAACATAAGATAGTTTCAACCCAAATTGTAACGTTCATGATACATTAGGCTGAGCAGGCAAAACAATTCACATGGGAAACTGCACCCAGAGATTTTACTACTATCAACTTTCAACTTGGAGCACACCAGTAACACACCTACCTGCAGGTCTGCAAGCCTACACCTGAAGAACCCAGCTGCATCCTCCCAGGGAATAGGAAAGCAAAAATCTTCTAAGGATCCTCAAAGCCTTCTTTATGCAAGGCAGTGAGTTTGGATAGTGCTTCAGCCCAACAGGCACAGCCTGGCTCAGTTTGAGTAAGCTCCGGAGGAGGTACAGTGAAGTCAAACTAGAAAGATTCAAGCTTAATTTAAAGCACTCAGGCTGAGGAACAGATAGGTGCAATCTTTAAACTAGAAATTCTTTTGTCATGGTAGTTTTACACACAAGATACAACAGTTTGCCTGCTCTGGAAATACATCAATGCCAGCTTTTCCATAAAACACAAGACCACAACAACAGCTTTTTACCTCTTCCTCCTCCCCAAGCTCAGAGGAGCATCCTCCATTCACCCAAAGCTCTTTGATTAGCCTCTGTGGCCTCTTATGTTGCACCTCCAGTTACCCAATTAGTACCTTGTTAACTAACACCTGAGTGTGTTTATTCCTTGCCAATACACTAGTTTTAACCCTTCATGCACGCTGGTACATACATCCTCCTAGGAAGCTTTGTCCATAGGCTTTGACAAGAAAATGCCTTATCTGTGCCACACCAGAGTGGTTTTTAGGGCTGTTAAACACTGACACGTTTTGCTTCTCTTCTCTTGGTGTCAGAGTGGGACCTGAGTCTTTTGAAAATGAGGGTTATGGGAACAGAAGAGGGAGATACCTGTGTCTCTGGGGCCAGTGAGTTTTGTGAGAACTGGGCACACTCAGTGTCTCACATGACTGCACCCAACAGTGTTTAACACACAACAGCAGGGGTCTGTTGGGAACTGACCTGGAGCCTGCTGTTTCTGAGCTGTGTTAGAGGTTCTAACTGTTAGCTTCTGATTCTCTACCTCACCTTTCAGTGTCTGTTTCACCATCCAAACCACAGCTCCCTGCTGGAAGGGAGCTCTTTGTGAGGATTTGGACTTGGGGATTACAAGTGGAGCAGGCTGCTGAAGGGGGATGAATGCCAGGTCAGCAGTGCACCCTGTCCTCCACGGGGCACACAGCAGACACTCCGTACATCTCTATGCATGCAGAGGGCTGATGTGAGCCCCACACACCTTCAGGCAGGTGAATTTGGCCATTCTGACTGTTTGTGTGGGCTCCAAGAGACCTCACATATGAGCAGACTCACAGAAGAGCCTGTAACAGAATGAATGTCATTGCACATTACAAGAAGAGAATTTATTCAGTAACAGCCATGTTTGGGATAAAGAAATAATAGTGCCCAAATAGAAGACTGCTTAAGAGCATGTAGTCAGTGTCTGGGATTATACAACTCCGATCATCCAGTGGCAGACAGAAGGGAGTTGAACACAAGCGGATAAATGCTCTTATTGCAACAGAGAGTCATCTTTACCAATAATTTTCTTCACTGTGGTGGCAGGATTTCCTCAATTGAGTCAGTGTTATTCAGTGAGTTGAGGATGACAGGCCCAGGGCAGGGGTTTGAAACAATAATTGCCGTTTGTTCTTCTGTAGTACCTTTCATCTGTGGAATTCACAACAATGCAGTAATCCTCCAACAGCTTCTGTGGGTAAGGAAATATTATGATTCCTGTTTTTCAGCTGAGGAAGCCGAGAGGGAATACGATGATGCAGAGAACCACAGGCAGAGCCAGAACTGGGACCTGGCTCCTCTGACTCGTACTCTGTAGGTTGGAGAGCCTGGACACAACAGCTGGTGAGGCCACTCTTCTGTCAGTGACTCTGTCAGTGCCTGCGGGACCTTTGTCTCTTCAGTCTTCATCTGGAAAGGGGTTAGCAGCGCCCCCAAACAGGGAATCCAGGAGCCAGGATGTCTACAAGCCCCCAGAGGTGCAGCACTATGGGAACTGATGGGAAGGCAGGAAAGAATCAAGCTATCCAAGACCTGAAGGATCTCATAAGTGTTTACCTGCAAATATACAAGTGCCTTTTATGGGGATGTAGCAAGAAGCATTACTTGGAGGAGCTGGAAGCTGGTATACAGCGGACTAAGATTTATATGTATGGGAAGAAGCAGAGCAAAGGCCTAAGCTATTGTGAGAGAGAAGAGAGGGACAAGATGACAGAATTTGAACAGTGAAGAGAAACTGCCCAGCTAATATGGCCACATATCTTTGGCCACAGTAAATACATTTCTTTGGATATCAGCTGCATCTAAATGGTTTTGTTACACAGTGAGTATCATGTAGAGACCCAGCACCTGCTGTTAACAGTGGTTTGCACAGGTAAGCAACCTTGTGACTAGTGTGTGCTAATGAGCTGGCAGTTTAAACTAACAGAACACACTAGATTTCAGCTGGGTACAGCCCTAATGGATTCCTGTGTGTTTTCTTACTTTTCCTCCTGCCCTCTTACAAAGACTGCAGAGAATGCCAAAGAGATGCTGTGACCAAATAGTAACACTTTCAAACACTGTGATGTCTAAATTACAAGGAGTAATAAATATATTCAGATTTCACTCAAGCTATCTCAGGAGTATGAGCCAATCATGTTGATCTGGCTGCTCACTGGAGTTGCAACCATTTGCACCAGCCAAGAATGAAGCTCCCGACCCACAGAAGTGCTGAGAACCTGCTGCTCCAGCTGAAGTGGTGGGGAGAGGCTGTCATCACGTCTGGCAGTCAGGCTGTGTGTGATTCAGGCTGGGGCTCTCGAATCTGCAGTCTTTATATGCTTACTGGCTGTAAATTCCATTGGGAGGGAATCTGCTTTGGACAGCACGTAGCTGGACTTTAGTCCTGTGTCAAGTCCTACCTTCTCTTCAAAACCATGGACTGTTTCTTAGCAGGTCTTTACTAACATTGAGCTCGATACATGCAGTGTTCAATGATCTTGCTTTGAACGAAGCTCTTCAGCCTCCAGAGGCCGCTTGTGCCCAGGCTGCGTTTTGTACACATCCCTCCCAGGGCAGAATGAATCAAATCCTACCTGCGCTCCACTGGGGTAGGATTTCCTAGTTTTAAATGAACAAATGTTGGCAGTGAAGCAAGCAAGGTTCCTGCTGTACTGGGGGAGGTAGAAATATCAGCCTGGAAAAGGTTTAGTGTTTGTTTTTAAATCCCAGAAGAAATGTATGTGATGTATCAGGGATTTAGAACAAATCAGAGCAGTGTATTAGCAACCATACAGAAAGAACTCCGTGTCAGAGAGTAGCTGCTCTTTAAAAGCCTAAAAGATGCAGCTGGTCTCTCATGTGTTCTTCCTCCCTCTGTTCCTTGAGCAGTGTGTAACTCACACGGTGAGTCTGTTCCCCCTTCCCTGGCTGCTGAGAGGCCCAAGCACAAAAACGTCCTGAGCCTGCCAATTGTGCCAGAACGTAAACGTGGGTTTACAGAGCTTGTAAGCTTAGTGCCTTATTACTCACCACTGCAAATGTAAGCACCAGCTTGTCTGCAGCAGTCAGGTCTAGAGAGCGGGTCCAGCATGTGCTGAAGTTAGTGGGAGCTTTTCCACGAACATGGATGTCCTCTGGATCCTATCCACAGGGCTGGGTCCTGGTGGAACCTGTGACAAAATCATACATTAGTCACAGCAGGACCCTTGGCCTCAGCTCTGTTCCTGACACCCTGAAAGCCACCCAAAGGGACCCCAGCAGCACTGAGAGCACTCATTCCATGTCATCTGAGCCACTCACAGCCTTTTCTTTCCCTTTCATCATTATGGGAAGCTGCTTTCCTCAAACCCCCTCAGACAGGTGTCGTTCACAGTGTATTTTGGCAGGTCACCAGTTCAGGCTATTTTGAACTAAACGGAATGAAAGATTTTGTGAGGGAGAAGCCTGCCAAGCCCCATGCTTTTCCAGGGAAGGAATCTGGACAGACACCACATCCTGCTGATCCCAGCTGTGGCAGCAGCGCTGGGGGAGCAAGAAAGACCCTCACAGATGACTCATAACCAACAAGTTAAATGTCATGCTGTCAGAACCCCAGTCTAGTGTGTGCCTGAGCACTGCACCAAGTGCAGTGTACCACACTTTCAGCTTGGTACAAAAATTAAAATGCAGGAACTCAGAGCTAAGGGGTTGTTCAGGATTTAAGAGTGAAAACTGAGCCAAAACCAAGCAGAGCGATCAGCAGCAGGAACTGGGTTTCTTTCCTAATGCTACCCAGTGCAGCTTTTGTCCCCATGTTTCAGCTCTCTGGGTTCAGACCTGCACCTGCACTGCACATTTCAGGCTGCAGAAGGGTTTCACTGTACCACAGGGGGGGGGTTCTTCCTTTTTCCCTCTCTTAACTGCCACGGGAGCCCCAAGATCCTCCTGTGCCAAAGGGCCAGTACATGACACGTGTCTCCTTTTCCTCCCTCCCTCCTGCAAGCAGACTGCATCGTGTCCTGTGTGGCGCTGGGCTGCTGTTCGGAAAACAGCAATGCTCTCCAGCACAGGGCTCCAACACATCCTTACCATTAACGCCTGCTTGGCCTGACTGAATCAAACACTTCTCTGAGTCAGGGCCCGTGTACACCAGTGCAGTGCCTTACATACACGCTCACCCAGGCAAATACGGTGCTAATGGCTCACACATCAGCCTCGTGCAGTACTTGTGTTGCTGCTTTAGGCTTGGGCTTGCCACAACGGTTTGTACCGGTGGTTCTGGGGCACCCTCCCACCGGGGCTGGCCTGTGCCTGACAGCCGGCCCTGCTGCGGCCAGGCCCGGCGGAATGTGAAGCACAGCAGCGCTGTGCCCACCTGGCACGGTGTACAGAGAGAGCCCGTGTACCTGACACACCGAGGGCCCTGTACCGGGCTGCCGCGCTCCGCGGTACCGGCTCTGCCCCGCGGGCTGGATGAGGCCCGCCCCTCACCACAGCCCGCCCGGGCGCTGCCTGCCGCTGCCGCCGCCTCCACGCCCGCTCCCCACAGCAACACCCGGAGCCGGCGGGTGGCGGGGAGAGGGCGGAGGGGGGGAAGCAGAAGCACGGCCGCGAGCCCGGAGCTGCCCCCGCCGCCGCTCAGCCCCGCCAGGGGAGGGAGAAGGAAGGGCGGGGCCGGGGCGGGGCGGGGCCGGGGCGGGGCCAGGGCCCGCGTCCCTTACACTCCTCCCACGCGCGCGAGCGCTGCTTTTTGTCCCTCGGGCCGCGCCGTAGCTCTCCCGGGAGAGCGGCATTGTGCAGCCTGCGGCCCGCACGGCGCAGGCGCCGTTCCGCATTCCCCCGCCCGCCGGCCCCGGAGCTGCTGCCGCGCCCCCTTCCCCTCCCGCGGCCGCGCTCCTCCTCGCCGCGGAGGAGGCGCCGGCCCCGCCGCCCCCCCCCGCTCAGTGCCCGCTCTCCGGTAAGGCCCGGCCCGCGCCCGCTCCCCGCGCGGCGCCGCCTCCCTCGGGCAGCGCGCGGAACCCGCTCCTCGCGGCGGGGCGCGCGCCCACCCCGGCCCTGCCTCGCGCCGCCGCGCTCCCGCCTTTCCCGGCTCCCGGCGCGCGCGTGCGGGCTGCGGCGGAGGGGGGGGACGGGAGCGGACCCCGAAGTTCGGGCAGGGACCCCCCGGCCTCCCGGCTCGGCCCCGCGGGGCCGTGGGGGTGCCGGGAGCCCCGCGCTCGGGGGTGTGCGGGGGCAGCGCCGGGGCCTCGCTGCGTCCGGTAACTCGGGTTCCCGGTTCGTGCTGCGGGGGGGCAGCGCTCTGTGATCCCCGTCACTGCTGGAGCCAGGCCAGAGCAGGCCACGGAGATACTGCGAGGGCTGGAGCAGCTCTGCTCTGGAGCCAGGCTGAGAGAGCTGGGCTGGGGCAGCCTGGAGAAGAGAAGGCTCCTGAAGGGGAGACCTGAGAGCAGCGCCAGTGCCTGGAGGGGCTGCAGGAAGCCTGGAGAGGGGCTTTGGACAAGGGCCTGCAGGGACAGGCCAAGGGGAATGGCTTTAACATGCCTGAGGGGAGATTGAGATGAGCTCTGAGGCAGAAGCTCTTCCCTGGGAGGGTGCTGAGGCGCTGGCACAGGGTGCCCAGAGGAGCTGTGGCTGCCCCATCCCTGGCAGTGTTCAAGGCCAGGTTGGACACAGGGGCTTGGAGCAAGCTGCTCCAGTGGAAGGGGTCCCTGCCCATGGCAGGGGTTGGAACTGGGTGAGCTTTAAGGTCCCTTCCAGCCCAACCCAGCCTGGGATTCCCTTCCAGGAGGGAGATGCTTACAATGCCAAGTATGTGCTGAAGCGGCAAGTGCTGCTGCTCCAAAATCTGCTGTCACCAGCACAAAGAAGGGCACCAGTGGTGGGGTATCATGAGCACGCTTTGAAGACAAATCCTGGCAGCGTGAGCTGGAGGCTCTCCTGTTTCTGAGCTGCAGTGGAGGTTTCTTCTCTCTGCAGCACCAGCCCCCATTGCTGAACACGGGCATAGCACCGTGAGGGTTTGTTGCACATCGTGGATCTGGTGGGGTGAGCACGAGGCTGCTTCAGTGTGAGAAGTCTTGGGTGGAGAAGGGCAGGGTTTGATAGCCAAGCCATGGCTTGATATCCTGACCATTTAAGAGGGAAATATGAGACTGAAATACATGCATTCTGAGGTGAAAGGAAGCTCCTAGAGGCCTAAGCTTTGGGAATGCCACTGCAGGTTTTGTATTTATGTCAGTCTTGTATTCTGAACCTTAACAAACGTGAAAAAAAGGCCTTGGGCTGTTCCTTCCATCTTTTGCACAAGCCTTGGTATTTACTGTCTGCTAAATGCTTGTTAGAAGTGTTTTGGGGAACATGCTGTGAAAACTCTGCCACACCTAACAGCTTTGCAATAAAAGGCTGTGGTTTGGGCTTGGGTCTTGCACATTTGGTAGGTCTGAAGGCCTGCCATCCTGCTGTGTTCCTAACGGGATCTAGATTATGTTTTTTCATCCTGGTTTCCTGCAGTTAGGTACTCTCATTTTTCTGGCTGCTGAGAATCTCTTTGACAGCTAATGAGAATATTCTGTTTTTCTTCCAGGTTTGCATTTCAGAGCCGTTCTGTCTGTGGCAAGAGCTGCCTTTTGAAGCAGCACATTCATTCTCCTCTTCAAGCACCACAAGTCTCATTTGCCAGCTTCAGAACCATGGCAACAGAAGAAAAGAAGCCAGATGCAGAATCCACCAAAACACAATCTACTCCTTCCTCCTCAACCAATCAGAGCAAGGTGTGTGCAGGGCTCCAGCAGTATCTGTGTAAATACACATGGCAGCACCTGCATATTCAGCAGCCGAACCAGCATCGGTCGAGTTCTCCTGTAGATGAAGATCTCTGCCAGGCTCTGCTGTTGTCTGAGCTGGAAACGTGCTGAGGGTCTCATGGGAAGGGCGATGGAGCGCAGCCTGTTCCACAGGGCTGGGCGGGGATTGCAAACAAAGTCCTCCTGGTCACTTGGAGCCTTAAAAAGAGAGGTTGATTGTATCCTGGGAATGCCTGGAGGTGACTGGAGAATCAGGGAATCTGTGAGCATAGCTGCAAAGTGGGGAATTAAGCAGATTCTTTGAAGCCTGCAGATGCTCAAAGGAGATGTTGTGAAGCCTTTGCAAAGGGTGAAAAGGGAAAAAAAAGAGGATTTTAGGAGTCTGAAGGAATTGGCCTGTGATTTAATTCATGGTAAGGATGAAAACTGCAAACACTTAAAAGCAGTCCACAGATCAATAGCAAGAGGAGTATTTTGATCTACCGAGCGCTTTATGGCTGGGCTGTTGGATTATTCTCCCCTGTTTGTTACTGGCTTGGTTGAAATTCCTATCAAGGGTGAGTTGTTGTGCATGCAACAGGGAGGCACTGCTGGCCCAGACAGCAAGGGTATTTGTTCTGGTGTTATTTGAATTTGGAGGCAGGGGGGAGACATGATACAGTTGTAAACGCTGGCATCTGTACTGGAGTGGACATCCATGCAGTCTGTCACTGCGTGCTGACCCAGTGGGATGCTAGATCTGGAATTTATTCAACTTGCTCATATGTATTTTTCTTACAGCCTGCACCAGTAAAACCAAACTATGCTCTGAAGTTCACATTAGCAGGACACACCAAGGCAGTCTCATCAGTAAAGTTTAGCCCTAATGGAGAGTGGCTCGCCAGCTCCTGTAAGTACTGCTTCCTTCTTGTCTCATCTAAAACATGCCAGCGTGGGCTTTGGAGAGCTGCCTGTCTGCAGTGTTACCTCCATCAGGTGGAGGAGGGATGCAGTGTCATGGTTTTTCTTCAAAGGAGCAATATCAAAGCTCTCAGTCTCCAAGATAATCTCTTTAAGCTTTTTATGTTCTGTGGCTTTGAACACTGGACCTTCTGTGTGTTGCAAATTGGAGGGCCTGACCCACTCAGCTTTTCAGCTACACAGTGTGGTACAGAGGCTGGCCACGTGCCTCTGTCCTGGCTGCCTGCACTGGTCAGTAAGTCACAGCCTTTGATTAACGCAGTGAAACATGCAGGATATTATAAATAGTGTTTCAGTTCTTGTTCTCTTCAGTGGTGGATCAAGTCCTCTTCCTATCAGCTTTGGTGTTTCCTAAAGGGTTTTTTGTGGTCAACATTGCTTGACAGCTTTCCTTTGAAAACCTGTTTGTGTGACCCTCTGATCCAGAGAGGATCCGTGTATAAGGGCAGTAGAAAAGAACATTGCTGAATGTGTTGGTGAGGACCACTTGAGCATCTGCTGGGACCACTCGAGCATCTGCTGGCCATGGGAATGACTTGGGTCTTTGGCTTCACTGCAAATGGCCTTAATAAGTCCAGTTACCATGTAGAAATCACTTTAATGTTCGAGTGTCTCCATGACCGCCCCCCTTCTCAGATTTTCCAGTCTCTACCTCTGGCAAATATCAACCTTTTTCTCTGGTGTGTTTTGCAAGTTAACATTTGGGGTTTTGCAGGCATTAACTTAGCCCAGCCTGTGGGGTAATGTTTGTTTGGTTTGGGCAGAAGTGTTTCAGGATTCCTATGGCCCGGCACTGCTGTTACCACTGGCAGTCTAAAACAAGAGTAGAAACCCAAACTGTCATCAGAGGAACTGAAGCTGCTGGAGACTGTGCATTCCAGGCAGTTTATGTAATCTCAGCTGCTGCAGCGTGGTGTGTATGGAGCTGTTCTTTGCAAGCTGCCTATCACCCTCTACACTTAGGCCTGCTGGGGAGGGAGGACTGCCCAGTGCTTGCAGATGTGTAGTTAAGATGTCTCTTCCCAGTTGGAAGGGCCACCATAGGAATATCTCTTATCTGGTGTGTTCTTTTCCAGCTGCTGACAAACTCATTAAAATCTGGGGAGCGTATGATGGCAAGTTTGAAAAGACAATATCTGGCCATAAACTGGTGAGTACGAGGAGGTTACTGGGCGCTTGAATATGAATTTACTTTTCCTCACCCGGAAGTTTCCATTCTGGCTTAGTTTGACAAGTGTGGAAGGCTTATTCTTTGGTCTTGTTTTGTGCTGCTTTCTTTATGCAGGCCTGTGCAGCAGCCTGGAATTGCTGAAGTAAGCCAGGGCAGGCTGGAAGTGTGGGTGAAGTGCAGGCTGCTGATGGGGTCCCTGCCTGCACGCTCCCTTGCTGGTCTTGTGTCCCTGCCTTTTGAGGACACCAGCCTCGGGCATGGGGCAGTACATGCTTGGGTGAAACCCCTGTGGACTGTAACAGTGTGTCCTGTTCCATCTTCCCTTTGTGTATGGAGAGAATGGTTTGCCTTTTAAGGAGATTGAATTTTTCTTGTGGGTTTGCCTACGTAAACACAACACTTACTCATTCTGCAAAGTTCTGAAGAAACACAACTCCCAGCCCCATAGCTTTGTTTTCTGAAGCTTCTTACATGCTGAAGCTTCGTAAGCAAAAACGAAGATTCGCTTCAAGGAAAACCAGTGTAATTTGTTCTCCAACGTTTAGGGACTCGGATGATAAAGAGCAAGCGGTCTGGCATGACGAGAAGCCACTTCTTCAGTTTAGTTAGATAGCAAACTGTTACGAGTGCCAGGAAAGGGCTTTGTTGGCCATAGAAAAGCTGTGTGAACAAGCCATTGGTATTTTTGGAGTATATGGCTCAGCTTAAAATGAGCAAGTGTCCAGCAAGGAGCTCTTAACCTGCTCTGATCAATGAATTCTGAGCTCAGTGCTGCATTTTCTTTCAAGATTCAGCTGTGCAGAGCACATGCCGTCTCTGTGTTCCATTTTCCTGTGTCAGTGAACAAGCAGAGCTCAGAATTGTTTTTCTGTGTTTTAGGGTATCTCTGATGTTGCTTGGTCATCAGATTCCAACCTTCTTGTGTCTGCCTCTGATGATAAAACACTCAAAATATGGGATGTAAGCTCGGTAAGGACAAATTACTGCTTATCTGCCTTCTCCCCAGCACTGGCATCTTCACTCATGTTCTGGGAGACAGCCTTGATGTGTTACAATGAGAGAAGGTTTAGTGTTAAGCACTACCTCCTGTTTGGGTAACACTTAATCTTTCCAGCTTGTAACGAGCTGCTGGTTGACTGGGCTGTGAGGAAGAGTGAGATATGCTGTTGCTTTTGGAAAAGAGGGGCTGCTTATGGGTATCAGGAAGAATCCGGTCACCTTCTGAGAGCACTTAAGCCTCATGGTCACAATGCAGCTGCAGGCTTTGTTTCTGAAAGCAGCATCTCAGCTGAAACCTCTGTAATTTCTTGTCATAGCCTCACTTGGTTTTGCTTCTTTCCCCCTTCCTTATCTGCAATGACAATGACAAACTTGCATGTATTTTGACTAGGTGTGTTAACTGCTTGGTTCTCCTGAGTTGCCCAAAGGGTTTGCAACTTGGCTGCAGTCACTAAAAATAAGGGTGCTTTTTCTTTCCTGTTTTGCTGTAGCTGATCCTCTGCCCATCTAGGTCTTGGGTTAGAGCAGGTTTCTTTGTGTGCTGCACAATAATGTTAATGCAGCTTATCTGAATGCATTTTTGGCACTGAAAGATATTTAACTCTGCTAAATCTTATTTCAGGGTAAGTGCTTGAAGACGTTGAAAGGGCACAGTAACTATGTTTTCTGCTGCAATTTCAACCCTCAGTCAAACCTCATCGTATCTGGATCAGTAAGTGGTCCTTTTGTCCCTTTCTGCCAAGCAAGTGTTGCACTCCCCAGTTACCCCTCACTTGGGGCACACACAGGTTTTTTTAGGGATCCGTGGCAGAATGCCGATGGCACTAAATCAGAGGGTGTGATTAGTATAGCACAGAAAATTTCTGATGAGAATGGCACAGGGTTCTACAAGCGGGATCAATGCAGTTCATGCAGCTGGCATAATACAGAATTTATAGTGCAACTTAAAATTTCTAATCACCTGGATTCTGACTTAACCTGAATTATAACTTCAGTCACCTGGGCCCTCTGCAGATCGGGTCAGGTCTTAATAAATGGTTGGCTGCATTGATAAAACCAGATGATCTTAAGGTCCTTTCCAACCCTAACTATTCTGTGATAACAGCCACAATCTAGACATGAAAACAGTGCAAAAGAATGTGAGTCACTCAGTCCTTGGAGGCAGCAGGTGGTGGTGGGGGGTGTCCCTGTCTGCTGTAGGGTCATGGTCTCAGTGTCCAGAACAGTTGTAGGCCAGGGTCCCTGCTCGATTCTGCAGGCAGCACTCAGTGTGCTGTTGCAGCTCGTTCTGGGATGGGGTGATGGCCATCACCATGCTGGCTGCATGCCTGGGACCTTCAGGGCTGGTGAGGAGGGGAATAATCTTGACACTGATAGGGATGGGACGAAGCAAGCCGTTTGGTTTGTCTGCTTGGTTCCAAGGACCTACGGGGCCTGATAACGAGGGAATGGGGACAAATGTGACACTCAGTCTCAGAATGGCTGCTGGCCTTACAAAATGGTCTTAGTTATGGTTAGTTAGGGCTTGGACCTGGGGTACCAGTCACAAGCCTTTGCCATTTCCATTCTTTCTCCACAAACACAGCTTGTAGTCAGCTGAGCTCCGCAGTGCCACTGCTGTCTTTGCTTGGGGACATAGTCACGTCTTTAACCCATCCCCAGCATGCAGGTTCCCTGCTCGGAGAGGGGGAGCTCAGGGAACTATGTGCCAGTCTGTTATTTTTGCCCTGCTTGGTTCCGAGGCTTTCTGATGCAGCTCAGTGTAGCTGGAGGAGGGCACGTGCATGTGGTCAAGCTATAACACCTCGCATGCCTCAAGTAGGTGCATCATTAAACCACCTTGTGCATTTCTTCAATTTTCAGTTTGACGAAAGCGTGAGGATATGGGACGTGAAAACAGGGAAGTGCCTCAAGACGTTACCTGCTCATTCTGACCCAGTTTCAGCTGTAAGTATCTTCTGATAAATGAAGGCACTAACATGCTTATGTTCTTTAGCAGAGCCGGTGCTCAGTGAGAATGGAGTGAGCAGTGTTTTCTGTAAGACTGGTATGGATCTTGGTCCTGGGTGTTAATGTGGGGAGCAGGGAATAATGGTGTGCCAGTCATTCCTGAGCCTAGCTGGGGCATACATTTGTGATCACTTGAGGCTCAGAGAATGACCTGTACATCTGTTGCATTTGTGTTGTTCACACCTAATCATGTCTGATCAGAGCATGTCTGTGTTCATGTGTTCTTAGCTTCTGAGGAAACATATTCCAGTCCCTAATGCTTGGATGAACAGCTGTAGTTAACATCCACCCCTCTTTGTAATTATGCCAGACAAACTGAGGGGAAGGAATCTGATTTGATCATATTGCCCATCTAAACTCAGGCCTGTGGTCTGTATGTTGTGTTGACTTTCTCCCTCTGTCCACGTGAACTGCAGAGTCAGTAATGCAAGGCAACTTAAAGTGGAGCTTAAACATTTGACTTTTATGTACATCGGTAAAGCTGGTTTTCCCCTTCTATAATATTACAGGTGCATTTTAATCGTGATGGATCCCTGATAGTGTCAAGTAGCTATGATGGGCTCTGGTAAGTGCTTAGTTCCTGCCTGTGGCACTGTTCAAACCTTTTGCATTTAAAAAAGGACTCTTTTAAAAAGAGCTTGTATTTATAATGTTAAAATCAGAACAGAAACTTCAATAGTAATGGTTCTGCTGTGTTTTTAATAGTCGAATCTGGGATACAGCATCAGGCCAGTGCTTGAAAACACTGATTGGTGAGTAGGAGTATTTCTTGTTTGTGCTCTATTTTTGCTGTTGTGACATAAATATTCTGCATCATTGCTGTGAACAGTGGCTTCCTTAAGCTCCATTTAAATATCTTCTTCCTGCTGTGGTAGTACACTGTTTTCTTCCAGTCTGTTGCAATAAGAGGAACTAGCCTCTTGCATGAATGGAAACTTGCTGGAGTTGGAGTGTTCTGTAGTATAGGTGAATAAATCATAGAATAGAATCACAGAAGTTTCCCAAAGCTTTCTGCCATTCAGCTGTGCAGAGCTTGCCATGCAGCAGTTCCAGACTGCCGCACAAAGTTGTCTGCGCTGTTGGATGCAATGGAAACGGGCAGTCTGTGACTGTTGTGAGGTGCATGAAGGTGTCTTGTGAGTATGGCTGATGAAGGGAAACCACCGGTTGGGCATGTGTTCCCTAGTCCTTCCTGGTCTTGCAGAGCATTTTATAAATGAGTTAAATGGCACTGCAGATCAGTGGCATGTGTTCTAATACAATGATTTTTAAAGGTCTTGCTCTGGTACCTGCTAATGCAGGGAAGGAAAGTTCAGTTACAAAGGGATATTTAAAATGTGAGAAAAGTGCTTTTCTTAAATGAATCAAAACAATCACCTTTCCTACACCTCTTTTTCTTGAAATAGCAGGGGACAACAAAGCTGAAAGCTTGCTTCAGTGAGACAGTTAACACATTATTGTCAGAGGACAAGACAGTGCAGCTGTGCACTAGCTAATGTTGCTTTTGTTTTCACTGTAGATGATGATAACCCTCCAGTGTCTTTTGTGAAATTCTCACCTAATGGCAAATACATATTAGCTGCAACCTTGGACAAGTAAGTACTTAAAAACCAAACAGAAAATCCCCACAGGCTTTGGGGTGTTTGAGTGGCAGGTAAACCCCTAGTTTGCTTCTCTTTAGCTACCGTAGTAATGGTATACAAGTCCATATATACTATCAAACTTGAACAGCCGGTGAAGTGTTGAGCTGTGCTAATGGCGCAGGCAGGACTTGGGTTGTCTTGGCACTATTTAGTGACTGCAACACCCATTCGTTCCTCCTTGTACCTCTCAGAACCTCAGCTTTTCCTTGCATTGATCATATGATTCTTTTGTACCACTGAGAGTCAGAAAATACGACCTGTAAAAGACTGCTCAACTCTGCTATGGAGGAACTGCTGCTACTGAGAAATTTTCAGATGGGAAGAAAATCCAAACCCCAAGAACTAAAATCTTTGGTTTTCTCTTGTTTTCCAGCACTCTTAAACTTTGGGACTACAGCAAAGGAAAGGTAAACCCAATCCTACCTCACTATATAGAATTCACTAAGCTTATAGGAGAATCTGGGTTTCATAAGTGCTTTTTGCTTAACTGAGACATTAAGTAGCGCTTTATTTCTGCATTTGTTTCATGAACAATAAGTTGCTGCTGCTCTCTCTCTGTGGTAATGTGACAAACTTAGGGCTTCCACCCCCCCCTTCAGAACCATTCAGTGTTGTAGGGCAGAGGTGCCCCCTGCATGCTCTAGATAAGTCGGCAGGCTGGGAAGCACAAGCAGATGTGTTAGTCTTTTCTGCCAGAAGAGTTTGTCCTTGACTAGAAAACTACCTCCCAGCTGTGTTAATGTCCTGTGGCTCTTCACTTCCAGTGCCTGAAGACCTACACAGGACACAAGAACGAGAAGTACTGCATATTTGCTAATTTCTCCGTCACTGGTGGAAAGGTCAGTGGTTATGGGAGAGGCTCTTTGCCAACGTGCAGTTCTTACTGCTTTTCTCTGGAGCTGAAACAGGAGTTTGGGAATGGAAACCTCCTTTGGTGGGTGCTGGTTCACAGGGGCTGTAGTGCAGCGGGGAAGAGGGTGTCCTAGCAGTGAGCCACTGGATGATAGGTTCGTACATTGAGGTGATGGGACAGGTTTACTCCTCACACTGAACCACCTTAGCACCTGTTGCTCTGGCATACACAGGGTAGAACAAAGCTTTCTGCTGCTTTTGAGCACTGAACAGAGGTGCTGAGAGGATGAACCACATGGAGCAGTCTTGTAGTGTTGGGAGTTCCTTTTCACATGGTGGCAGTGAAATGCTGACTGAATTTGAATGCAGATCAAGATGAGAAGAGAGATGAAAATGACTGTGTTTTCTCTACCTCTCCAGTGGATCGTGTCCGGCTCAGAAGACAACCTGGTTTATATCTGGAACCTTCAGACAAAAGAGATTGTACAGAAATTACAAGGACACACAGGTGTGGAAGAGGATTTTGGTTTTATTGATGGACTATCCCTCATGTCACTTGTAATGAGAGCTCATCCTGAGCATTTTCTCTCTGATATTTAGCTTTTGACTGTCAAACCCAAAAATTCTTGGCTGGCTGAAGCTTAATTGGGCCCAAGGAGTTTGCTCCTTTTTATGAAGGGTTTTTTATGGGCATCACAAGCGTTTATTCTTTCACTGTGAGAACTTTGACACCAGCTTACAAAAGAGATTTCCTTGAGTTCAGAGCTGGTGGAGTATTTAAGTGACTTGTAATATTAGTGACTTTGATTTGCCTGTTAACACCTTCCAAAGCTGCAGCTCTTGAAAGGATAAGGACTGATGTGCCCCTGCTGTTTGTAAATGGCTACATCTGCCTGTTCTTGGGGGCAGAGTTGAGCATGTTTTGAGGTGTTATCTGGTGGAAATTTCAGCCTGAAGGATCATTGATTTGGTCTCTGAGTGGGGCCAGTGGCAGCAGGTTTTCATTCTTGGGCTGGGGCAGGGCTCTTCAGTGCTCCCTGAGCATTGGATGGGATGGTGGGAATATCTTCCATGGACAGGAAAAAACTGACCTGGGTTTTTGTTAGCTATCTGACATAACATGCCAAGAGTGCTGGCTGTGAAGTAAGTGAGAACCAGAATCCAGAGAGTTCTCACGCTGTGAAATCCGTCAAACACTTTCCAACTACGACTAGCAATTCTTCTGGCAAGTATTTCCTCTGACAGGAGCAGCAGTTGTCAGATATTTGCAAGTATTGCATTTGTAATTGTGCTCTAAAGAACCAGGAACTCAGCAATGCTGTTTGCAGGTGTGGTTTCAGAAATGTCTGCTATGCACCAGCTCTCCCTGCTGCAGATAGTGATATCTGTGTCTCTTCTCCTTGTTTAGATGTTGTAATCTCAACAGCTTGTCACCCGACAGAAAACATCATTGCCTCGGCTGCGCTAGAAAACGACAAAACAATTAAACTGTGGAAGAGTGACTGTTAAATGCTGCGGGATCACTGAGACTGTCAGGAGAAATGCTTTTAAAGAAAGAATACTAAAAACCCACATGAGAATATTAAATGCAGTTTGGCAGGAAACCCGAAGAGTGTTTGATAAAGTGGTTTCTGTTAGTCTTGGCCCAAAGAACACGTCTTAGCTCTTTGCTAGAACCGGGCAACGCGGTGGAAAACACACACAAGATGTGGTTCTCCTTCCCCTGCCTGGTCCTTGGCAGCCCTGGATCACCCTGACATCGCCCTGTATTGGACACCCCAAAGATACTGTATGGCCGTGGTGGTGCCTCTGGGCGCTGCTGCTACGCGGGAGCGCTGCCATCGCCTCTCTCACAGTAAGTGAAGTCAAAGCCTAGAGATGTGTGGAGGGTTTTTTAATGTCTGATTTCTTATTTTCCTTTCCAGAATGTAGGTTCTAGTCTCTTGGGAAGTTTCTGTCCTGTTTTACATAGAAATACTGCATCTTTAAGGGTGCTTCATTTTCAACACTCAGCTCAGACTTTGTGACCAAATAAAACCATGCAGTTCCAGACCCCCCTCTTCCTGCCCCTGACTTGACTCCTGTGGTGAAATCTCCTCTTCCCTTCTGTATAGTTGCTTACCTCTTGTTACGTGTGTTTAATAGATGCTGTTCTAGAGCAGAGTTACAGTTCTGTTAACCATTAAAATGATTCCTGCTTGTAGTTGTTCTCAGCATATTTTAAGTTTCCTCTTCTGGTTCTAAAGCTCACAGAACACTGTAAAGTTACTTCAATGTAAAGAGTTAAAAAAACCCCAACCCAGACTTTTGTATCTTGAAAATCCATCGTATGAAGCTGTATTGATAATGGCATGACTCTGTATCTGTTTCAGCGTTGGTATTTCTTTCCCTTTTTGTCATACCCATGTGGTATTTACACATCCAGAAAAATGCCATATGCCATAATAAAAAGGTGGGATTTTCTGTGTATGCTTGTGGTAAGAGTGTGCTAATGTGATGTGCCTGTGACCAAAGAAGCCTCCCTTAGAAACACCTGTAAGGGGAAGAGCCTTCTGTAGCAGGTCCATTGAGTGAGGAAGGGAACAGGAAGAAAGGAGCAGCAGCATCGTGGTGCTTGACGTCTGCTGTGGAGGCAGAAAAGAGGAGCATAACTCAGGTCAGAATTTCTAGTAAGAAAGGAAGAGGGTTCAATAGGAGCTGTCCTTGGCAGGCGCAGCGTTGGTACGAATTCGCACAGAGGCTGTTGGCTATGGGGAAGTGAATCAATCCTGCTGCCCTCACAGTGTGGGCAATGGGGGATGATCCAGGACCTGGCTGTGTTGGGCACAGCTTGTATTGCAGCCAGAGGGTTCTGCTGGGAGGGGATGCCGTGTTCCTGGGGCACCAAAAATCCATGGGTTTGGCATCAACCTCGTGTGCTTGATGGCTGAAGATCAATTGCAGTACAATTCTCTCCGGTGCCTGCTCCGGAGCTGTGTCGCTTTACCCTCGGAGACGGTGCTAACTGCAAGCCATGATGTATGGGTTTGCTTTTACATATGTAAAAATAGAATTCACATTGAGCTGGTGTGAAAAGGGCCAGTAATGATATCGCTGTCTTTTGAGGTTTTCCATTACCCCTAGGGGCGGACACGTCTCCAGCCTTGGCGAACATCACTGCTGGAATCATCTGTTTCCTCGTGACTCTTCCCCACTCCAGTTTTTCTCTTGGGCTGATGCAACTGCGTGATTGCAGATGTGGCTGTGCTGCTTTACCAGTGTGGAGAAGCTGGTATCCGACTCCAGGAACGCATTTTTACATAGATTCAGATCTGGTTTGTACTCCCCTGTAGCTGTGTCTGAGGGGCTTCGCCGAGCCCCTGCCACAGGCACCTTCTGCTGGACCACGTTTCTCCAAGCAGTCTCTTGAACAAGGATATATTTTGTCCCCCAGACTGGAGAGCCCAAATATAAAGGATCTACTGGAAAGCTGCCTGTAAAGGTTGTGTTTAACTCCCCAGCATCCCACCTGGGAGTATTGCTGGCACCTGTGAACGGTGCTAGCTGTGATTACACCGGGCTTGGTGTGTCAGTGGTGGTTTGGGGCCAGGATTAGCTGATCTTATAAAGTACAGGGCTGAAACCAAGGCTCCTGCCATGGTGGGGCTGGGTCTGCACCCTTGGGAGGGTTGTGGCCTTGCTTGTGTTGGGTGCAGGGGGGCGGGGGCAGGGGCTGGAGCTGCTGCTGAGGAAAGGAGGTCTTTTCCCTCGTCGAACTGGGGGAAAAGGAGAAGCCGGGTGGGATCATCAGTGGAAGGAGCTGGTTCCTTCAGGGGTTCCCCCAGTAAAAAAAAAACATGGTTAGATGCCACGAAGTAGGTGGCAGTGCCTTAACCGTATGCGTGTTGTACAGGCCACAAGGGCCTCTTCCATCCTTATCAAGGGGAGTGCTAACCTTCTCTCCTTTCATACAACACAGCTGGCTGTGGTGCACCCACAGCTATTTAAACCTGGAGCAGCCTTCCGCCACAGCGGATCGTGTGAGGACTGTAATCTTGTTTTCTTCTCCATCAGTTTACATCTCTTTATAATCCCATTGTACAGTTTTTATTCTAGGTCTCCGAAGGAGCAAAAAACCCTAAAAAATCCCCTCAAAATCTCACAGAACAGCGCTTTCATGGTGCTCCCTTAATGTATGCATCCTGTCAGCCAATAAGAGCGCAGAGGGCGGATCCTCTTCCATCGCCGCCTGTTGTTGGCGCCGAGCGCCGCCGGCCGCGCGCCCAGCCCAATCAGCGGCCGCGTTGACAGGGACGGGGCACTTCCGGTTCCGCCTCGCTAATGGCGGCCGGAGCCGGAGGACCCCGGTTCGAGTCCTGCGTCCGGCGCGGAGCGGAGCCTGCGGCTGCGGCTGCGGCTGCGAGCGCCGGCGGGGAGCGGGGGAGCGGCGCTGGCGCTGCCGCCCGCAGGGACGGGCTCCGAAGCGGGGTTTGCAGCGAGCCCGCCCGATGTGCGCGGGCTTCAGCCGCCGTCCCGAGCGTTTGCGCGCGAGCACGGCTGCTCGGGGCTGGCTGCTCCGGTTTTCCCAGGGCGGGAAGGCCGTTTCCTGAGGGGTCCCGGTGCCCCGCGCTCGGCAGCAGCTCCGGGGTGCGTCACCGCCTTCCCCGGTTCCGGGTGCGCACGTGGGTGAAGGGGCTGCTCTGGTTTCCCCCCGTCGCTGCAGGTCCTTGCCTGCTGCTTCCCAGGGGAATAACGCCCAAACGAGCGCGTGCTTCAGCCGGGAGCCAGTGACCTCATTGAGCCATTGAAAGTCGCCTTCCCTCCCCACTGAATGCTGTGATTTCTGCTGCTTTAAAACCAGTCCCGTTCCCCCGGTTTATCCCTTCTCCCCGAGGCTCTCGCGCGTTGCTGGGTCACAGCCGGTTCTAATCGCGTTGTTTTGGGGCCGCGGGTGGGTTGGGGCACGGGAATCAATGAGCTGCGTTCCCTGGGCTCTTCTCTGGCACGGACAAGGTTGTGCTGCTGCAGGTGAAGTCCCAACGAGCACGTTGGGCTGCATGGGGCCAGGTCCAGGGCCGGGACCGCGGGATCCAGCTGCGCTGGTGCCCGGGACCGGAATGCGGTCGCTGGATGCGCCACATAAGCAGCTTATTTTGTCCCTTTAATTTTTAATCCCGTGCGTTCGGGTGCGCTCTCCTATTAGTCAGCATTATCCCTCCAAGTCCCATTAGCTCCAGGAGAGCTGGGGCTTTGCCTGTGGGGATGGCAGCACAGGAGCCAACAGGGCTCTGGGTGCCCGGCGTGGCTGTGGGTCAGTGCTGACCCCACGGGTTGGGGCCATCGGGACTAGGTGCTTTATTAAGGCGCTATTTTCATGTATGCAAATGCCTGTGTGACTTTCACACCCACTTGTGTGCCCTCCAGGTTCTCCCTTTAACGCCAGGGCCGGCCCCAGCGCTGTGCTTTGTCAGAGGATCTCAAGCCTTGGATGCAGAATTAGTTGACTGCTTCTCTTTAATAAAATTACTGCTGCCCTCTTCAAGCAGCTCAGTGTGACACGAGCCGGTGGGTCCGTGCCTGGAGATGAGGCAGCTCCGGGAGGAAACAGAGGGGAAAAAGCCAGTAAAGCCACGCATCTCCCGAAACCCCTGCTGCCTAATCCAACTGAATTAGAGGATTTCCAAGTGGATTTAAAGCTAAATCTTGATTAGGGAGAATTTCTCTCCAAGAGCTGCTGCACAGTAGTATTAATGGGTAAGTGATCATGGGCAGAGGAACTAGGACAGAAATAACAGAGGGGAGCACATACGTGCTCACGGCTCAGCACGGACCGAAAGAATCAGGGAATTTATCCAAGGGAAAAGGGAGAAATTGAGCTTTGACGCAGCAAGACCGGGCGCGGGGTGGGAGCAGCCGCATCCCGGCAGCATCTCCCTGCCTCCTCGTGGGGTTTGTGGGTGAAGGAAGCAGCGTGTGGTCAGGCAGAGGGGACATCACCGCTCCCCGGGCACCGTGCTCATCCCAAGCCCTGCTGGAACTCCAGGAACCGAGCCCATGCTTACAGGACACATGCCCGGAGGTGCCCGTGGGATCCTCTCTCTGCTGACCATGGTGTTTGTGCTCCCCAAGGGTAAGTGGTGCTGTGGCGGGTACCCCGTGCTTTGGAGTTATGGCTGTTTGCATCCTCCCTAACCCCTGGTTGGTTGTTGAGGTGTGATTTATCCTCGGGATGCATTTGGGGACATTCCTTGCCAAGCAAGGTAGCTGTGTGTGGTGTGTGTTGGTGGGTTTAGGATGGAGCGAATTCCATGATATTTTGTACAAAACAAAGGCGTGGGACAAGTACCCCCTGGGCTCCCCTTCCCTGTCCTGCTCACCCATATCCCGAAAACCCCATGGGACCAGACGAGGCTGGGCCGAGAAGTGCTCAGGGTCACATCCAGAGGAGGGAGAGGTAAGGGCAGTAGTGCGTGCAGCCTGATTTTTGTTGCTGTGAGGCCGGGTTCTGTGTTTGCCCTAAACCCCGTTCATGATGTAAATGAATCACCTTCAAAGGCCTTTTTATTTAAAGCAAGCTGAGGAATGGCTTCATCCCCATTCTGGTCCAGGCCAAGCAGTTCTTGGACACGGGGCTGACCCACAGGAAAGGGCTGAGCTGTTGCCAGTACAAGTGTGCAAAGCTCTGGGCACACCAACATCCCTGTCCCGGGGTCACCAACCATTGGGCTGTGGCTGCTCCAAACAAGGATCTCCCTTTGGTTTCGGAGTTGTTTTCCCTCCCTGGCAGACCCTGTGTAAAAGCAGGACCATGCTGGGGAGGAAACCCAAACCACAGCCATGAACCATCCCTCTGGCACAGCTGGAACTGGAGGGGTTGGGTGAAAGGGGCAGAAGCTGTTTCTGAGCGCGGCCGAACCCTGGCTCGGTGGTGGTGTTGGCTGGGAGGTTCCACATCCTCTTTGCAAACCCTGTTTCAAAGCGCCCTTGTTCGCACCATTTGATCCCAGCCCCGATCCCCTCTAATCCCTGATTTCGCACTGACCTCTAGTGGGAGATGCTTTTATCATTTTGAGGCCCTGTGGGTAAGCGAGCGCCGGCGGCTCCGGGCTGCGCTCGGTGCTTAATGCGACTTGGCAAGGCAGAGAGCGCTGTGAAGCCGCCGTTGGAGAGCAGCTGGGAAGGAGCTCAAGTATTTTTCCCCCTGGAAAAACACAGTTGCGTTTCCTGTGCTTCTTGTTCAGTGTCCGGGCTCCAGTGCTATGGCTGCAACATCATCGTTGGCACCAAGAACGTGGACAAGGGGTGCTCCCACCCGGAGGTCATCACCTGCTCCCACTCCCACCAGGGCTTCAAGCACCGCTTCTGCATTAAGACGGAGAGCGGTGAGTGCGGTGCTGGGGCTGCCCGGCCCAGCCGGGACCGCATCCTGGAGCCATGGGCCCGGGGCAGGGCTGGGTGCGCCCCTGACGCCCCGCTCTGTGCTTGCCTTG